AGTAATCCTTCCCAAGTGGTGAATACACCTTACCACAACATTCTTTAATTATAATAAACAAAATAGGTTAATAAAATGGCATTAAGCCCTACGGGAAGGTTCCCATAAGCTATGAGAGTCTCATTACGACTCGTTCAAATATTACGTAGTCATAACATAACGATGTTCCCTATATATATACTGCATCGTTATATAATATCATTCCTATTTCCTAAACGCGTACAAAAACGTGTGTAAAAAATAGCCGGCCGTTACACAGAAAAATCATTGATTCTCGGCTATTGAATGATCAACCAAACGATAGCCGTCTATTATGTAGAAAAATCATTGATTCTCGGCTATTGAATGATCAACCAAACGATAGCCGTCTATTATGTAGAAAAATCACTGATTCTCAGCTATTGTCTGTACATGTTTAGGTCTTACAATTTATTGTAGAGTTACTCGCTACTTGAGCAGCCACGAGCGCTTTCGACCTTGCTCAACGGTCTCATCAGGTGGCAAGTAGGCCATCCACATACATTCGAAATGATATTCTTCGAATCTGGACTAGATTGCAGATGCGTCACACCGTTTAGGTCTCGAGTTTGAGTCGCAGTTCGTCGAGAACTGGTGTTATTAGATCGCCAGGTCAGTCGGTTTGCAGAAACAATATACACTTGCCACAACAGCCACAAACAGCCACAGACAGCTGCACAGACAGCACACATACAACTACAGACAGCCACAAACAGCCACAGACAGCTGCACAGACAGCACACATACAACTACAGACAGCCACAGACAGCTACACAGACATCCATGGACATCCATGGACATTCATGGACATTTCCATAAAAACTTGATTTCTTATAATCTCAAGAATGAGTTCCTAGCAGTAAAACTGTTTTTCCGTTGAAAATACCTGAGAGAGGATATAGTAGCAAAATGTTTTGTTGGAAAATTTTTCTGTAGTTCCACATCTGACCAAGTTTGTTGCTAAAAACGTTTTTTTTAGTGTAAGAAAAACAAGTTAAATCTAAAGAAAACCAGAATTTTTGGAATTAATTGCAGAGGTCTAGGAAAAGAGGTAAATAAAGACGTTATTCGTGTATATACATACACTGCAGGTAGACGAGTATTGCGGAAACTACGAGACCCTTCTTTGCCGAAGATCGGTACGCTGACAACTATTATCCATTTCAAAATAGAATGCAGTTGATTGTTTTTTGAACAATACTTGATCGAAAAGAGGGAGAGACCTGCATTTTCGGCATTTTGAAGTAACGAATCGGGGCGTCTTTTTCAAAATCAATGACATTTATACCCGAAACATTAATTATTCAAATCTTTTTCAAAATCACTATACCTTTCGGCATTTTTGGTATTATACTTTATAGAGAACAAGAGCGTTATAGAAAGAGATCTTGATCATGACTGTCATATGCTCAAAAAGCAGAATGTGAGCAGACGCATCGAACAAATGTTTCAGATTAAGTGTATGTTGAGAATTAATATGAGTAAGACTGTAAAAGTTCTCGTTAGTTCTTCGGCCGTTATCGATAACGGTAACTAGAAAAACAGTTGCCGTTAAAGTACCGATAACGGTCTTTTCAGTTAGTGTTAAAACAACAGTAACTATCAGTTAGTTAACTTTGTGGTAACTATTTTTTAAGTATGACAAATATCCATTCATAAATGACATAGTTTTGTAGTCTAGTTTCGTTGATGAAAACAAAAAGGATTTCTCAAGCTGGCCGTAGATGCTGAGACCTTAAAAACCGCAGTTACAAAACATTGAAGTTATATAATTTGCAGAGTGTTTCACTGTGTGTAGGCACGACAGGAATGCGTGGCAGTTGTTTTTGTATTATGAAAGTTATCGGATCAAAACTCAAACATCACCAAGAGATTCAGTGTAGTCGAACCTATATTTCCATATATTGGTGACACTCAAAACCCTAAAACTTTCGGAATCTGAGTAGTCCTACATGGTCTTAGCAAAACGCCTGCGGTTCGCGAACGATGACGGCTAAAGAAATCGGACCTGCTAACTTTTGTAGAGAAATGTCACTCTATATCCGTGCATATTTTAAACAAAAACCCTAATCAGAATTTTTTCCGGAGAAATCCGTAGGATTTCGTTCGGAATGGTACACTACCTGTAACTGAACGCTGAAACTTTTGTTTTTTATCGGGTTGTTACTCCAAGTGTTTATGCTGAAACACGCAGGCCTCTCTCTCTTTTCGGTCAAGCGTTGCTCAAAAAACAACCGACTGCATTGTAACTTCAAATGGATAGTAGGTTACGTCTAAATGAGCCAGTTAGATAGGAAGATAAGTCCGTTTTAAGTGTGCTTTTTCGTTAATCTGGTGACACAGTATATCGGTTTATTTCCTGTACCATATCAGTTTAGGCTTTTGTTTGATTCTGTGAAGTATCCTTCTCACATGTCCCTTTGATTTTTATCAGGCTAGTTTGCAAGATTCATATTTCATAAACAGAAATTCTTACGGCAATAAACACCATTTGTACTATAGCTATAATTCGGGTTATTAAACGCCGAAGTAAGGTGTTTCACATTTTGGCTAAATGTTCTATCGGGGCTCAAAAACCTTTCTTGTTCTTCATCTGTAAGTCTTTTTTGTATGGTTCATTAGGCGAAGATGTTAAAAAAGCTAGACGACCTTTATATCAAGCATTTGGTAAAGCAATCTATGAAGCTGAATGGATACGACAAACAAATGGACCAAAATTCATTTTGTTACAAATCGACAGTGCTCGAGCTAGAAAAGAAGCAGCATTCTATGTCGAACTAAGTCGTCATCCGTATATCGTCCGTACTTATGGTTTAGTTCAGCAGCAGCAGAACAATCTAACTGAAGACGATTCAGTTATGTTACTGCAGGAATATGCCACAGAGGGCATTGTCGACTGCCATGCTACACAAACTGTGCAGGGCGACCGAGTGAGACACCTGAAGTGCACATGACGTCTCCCACAGACATTTGCGGAAAAATGTATAGCAATTCCTTTCTGTGTTCTGAATTAAGACGAAATGGCACCCAACAAAGGTTGCATAGGACGAAAATCAAAAAATTATTATCGCATACTGTATCAGCTAATATAATATGTACCGTATCAGTAGCCGAAAATAATGCACGGTGAAACTGATACGTGTATCAAGTATTTCCGAATGAAAGTGTGTAGAAAACCAGAAGAAAAAATAATGTGCTGCAAAGTGGGCGTATGTACCAAACCAATTCTAGAATTGTTTTATAATGCATTTGCGAAAATAATTTTATCTCTCAAACCATTTGTTTCCAGTTTTTATCCACAATGTAGGATTGTAGCGTTAGAGGGCTAATATGAATTAACTAGGTGATAAAGTCGTAGTGAAAATAGAGAAGGAGAAGGAAAAAAAGAACCTTCGAACGATTGATGACTTTCATCTAGGAGCATGTCTTTAGTAATGGTCTCCAGTGTCGTGTCGCACTGTGGCCTTAATTGTTTTATGGGCAAACACGAAATGCTTCCTGGTCCTTGTACACTTGATTTGGACGTACATAGTAAAGGACCCCTATGTATTCAATGGGTGTTCTCATGTGGGAAGCATATTCAAAAGGTTCAATGCCATGGTCTAAAGTAGAAAAAGACGATGATGTCCGTACGAAAGTCACAAACGGTGAAATATTACAGCAACCCACTCAGTGCAGCGACGAGTACTGGCTTTTGATGGTAAAGATCATGTCAAAATTACCAAAAAACAGACCAAGATTCGCTGATATAAAACGTGATTTAATAGAAACTCAATTCAAAGCTACTCTGGCAAAACAAGCGCCTCCTTCTCCAAAACCAATTGGTCAAGAACATTTATCGGCCTGTGGCCAACCCGAAAAAGATTCTAAACTGCCTTCTACAAGCTGTGCCCAACCAGGCCAAAAAATAGTACATCTTTTCACATCTAAACAATCACAACCGGGGATACCTCAACCAGGTAACGTGAAAATTTTTATATTTTCAAAGGGTTTCTTTTAGTTTTCGAAGAGACAAACATACATAATCTGTAGTTTGATCATGAGCCTGTATTGTTCTCTCTTACAAGGTCGCACCAAGAGATCATTGTCTTAGCGCATCCCGAAAGGAAAGCAGTTGATTTTGGAGCACCACGATAAGTCATTACCCTACCACTTATACTAGTTAAAAAGATTTCTGGATTTTCGTATTTAGCAAAACTACGGCCCTTTTCGGTAGATGTTCTGAGGATCATGTCATGGAATTTTTTCACATATAAATATCAGAAATATTTTGACGCAGATTATTTTTTCTGAAAGGATTATGGAAAATCTATTAACCTTAGAACTTTTTGTGGATTACATGATGAAGATATTTCTACTGACAGGTTCATTTCTCTATAGGTGCCACCGCCAAAAAGTCGTGTATTATCGGTTAGTGGTAAATTAAGATGTTCAAAATGCATCGATGAACTTGGTAAAATTTTCTATTCTTGTTATTATTTACAAAATATGTACTCGTTTCTAGGCCTTTTCGGCTAAGATCAAACTATTTGTCGAGCAGCTCGGTTCACGAGGGAACATATTCAACTGTCAAATCGCTAGTTTTGAAACATAGTGGACTATAGGTTATTTCTGGTGCTGAATCCGAATATCGATACGAGAGTGACTAATATGGACTCTGAGACTCGATTTTCTAGGAAACCAGGTTTTACACAGTCAAAAACTTTTTCGGTCCAAAATTTTTTTGATCCGCTCGTCTTGTAGAGCACACCAAACTACTTATAAAAGACTAGTTTTTTCTCTTTTGGACCGATTTTTAGTCGAATTGTAGGCTTAGTTTTGATTTTTTGCCTAAGACTTTCTCCTCAAAAAGGAACCTTTCATTTTCTTTCTCTAGATAAAAGAACATAGCTAGACTTTTTATAGTGGAAACTCGAATCTATTATCTAACTGCTCAGCAGATAAACCAAAGGCAGGACAGAGGTCCCTTCGGGTTAAATAAAAAGCATCTGTCCTGCTATAACCTAAAGTATGTCGACTTCTGATCTGAAAGAAGGCGCATACCGAAAGTTAAAAAAATCAAAACTAAGCCTACAATTCGACAAAAAGTCGGTCCAAAAGAGAAAAAACTACTGTCCTATAAGTGGTTTGGTGTGCTCTACAAGACGGGCGGATCAAAAAAGGCTTTTGACTGTGTAAAATCTGGTTTCCTAGAAAATCGAGTCTCAGAGCCCATATTAGCCACTCTCGTATCGATATTCGGATTGAGCACCAAAAATAACCTATAGTCCACTATGTTTCAATATGTTTCAAGTCCCTAGCGATTTGACTGTTGGATATGTTCCCTCGTCAGTCGGTTAGTGGGCAGACAACGTACTTCAAAGATACAGAGTTCGAATCCCGCCAACGGCGGTCGCGTGATAGCCTTGGACACGCTATCTAATGCTCTACTAATGCGGGGCACAGATGCAATGAGAAATCCGATTTCAGTGGCCATTGGACTGCACCAACTTGCTAATAATTTCCAAATTTTTCTCTGCTTTGTTTGAAAAAACAATCACTTGTACATTGCACTTTGCACTTTCTCGACTCTTTTCCCACAAAACTGCTAATATTTGATATCCGGTAAAAGAAAAGTTGGCCACTTTGTACACAATAGTCTACATTCACATCCTTTTCTCCTAGCACAACGTATAATTTGGATGGTAAACTATATTATCGTTAAACGTGAATTTGCCTAAAGCGGTTGTGAAAAACAGGAGTAACGAAATGAAATTAGCCTCACAATCGAGATAATCTAAGCGAAGAACTATTTAGTCTACAGATGATACGACAAAACTCTTCCATTTCACGCCGTACATTCGCCACATCAGTCTGCTTTATATAGCTATGTTGCATTATTACTTCCACTTTCCCAATTGCTGCATGAATATGAGTCAACTCATGCTTCTTGATATTATTCTATCTAACTGCTGACAAATCTCAAAACAAAAACAGTTTTTACTCACCTTTGGCAAATAACTTACTGCAGAAGCAGTTTCTTGCTGCGAATATTAATCAAAACTGAAAATAATCGTTTTTAATACAGCTATTTTGCATCTTCATTCCTCGTGCAAGCTCTCATCTGTCTAGCCCTCTTCTTCTTCATCAATCATGTTAACTTCTGATTGACGATTCTAACATTTCTCGCTCTAATAAGTTACTAAATCCCTTTAAAAAAAGCGAATGCGATACTCTATTGTTTTCGTTTGGTTTGAGGTTAACAGAGGGAAGTACAGATGCAAGTTCATGTGTGGAAGAGTTGTATGTGAAGTGGTCTTAGACAGCTGTGACGTATTGATAGTTTACTATTTAATTCAGTTGAATATTTTAGATATACTTTTTTAACGCGTGAAAAAACGTTCTTTGATGTAGTACTTTTTCTATATTACTCAATTTTTTAACCAAATTTTATCAAGTGCAAGCACTACGAATCGACAAGGTCAATTCTAAAATAATTTTCTACTTTAGTAATTTTAACAAATAAATATTAGTGTCAAGCACTACGAATCGACTGACGTCAATTCTAGTGAATAAATTTTGTCACATTAATCAGTTTTGATATAATCCCATGATGTTGTTGTTAATTTAATAATAATTTTTTGACAACCATTCGAACACGAGTCCGCTCACCAGTGTTAGTAGGAGGAAGCACTCTCTTCAGTCAAACTCGGTTTTCAGTTGTTTTTTAATTTTATTTTCAAAATGAAGAAGAAGAAAGGAAGCGACGGCGTGGCCTTACACATACGAATAACAAAAATCTGTGAATGTAAAGTAAACGAATAATAGAGGGCACTAAAGAGGAATATCTATGTTATCTATAGAACTGAGAACTTGCACGTAATTATTCCGTTGATCGTGGCTCTGTATTAGTAATGCTGACGGGCGAAAATGGATTTATAGCATTAAGTTTCGTTGTAACTTACTTTACCCTTCGCTACAATTGCTAAAAAGTCAAAGTTATTCCACACTAAGAAATCACGAATTTGTACAAAAATAATGCATATAAAATTTTTCGAAAGTCAAGCTCATGACGCAAGAGCGTCAACAACAAATGGCGCTTATAATTGAAATAAGGTGTCAATAGCTCTAGGTGACAAAAAACGTGGATGACAATAACTATAGTTTTCCACCGTGTAGAGGTGTCAATAACCATTCCGATTATTTATTTCACTATTCTTTCTTTCTTTCCTTATCGCATTTTACAAACACAAAACTGATGCGGATGAATGAATGCACGTTTGCAATAATAATATTACTGCTTCCTGAACGTAATACTTGTGCTTCACATATATCCTCGTGGAAAAAAATAGTTGCACACAGTATTTTTAAGATATTTTCCTTACGAAAACATACTTTTACAAAAGTGACCCCATATTCTGATAGCGCTTGCAAGTCTCTACAATTCTATATATTTATATCTTATCTTACATTTATTTGCTGAAAAACAAATTGAGCGTAATGACGGCCCCACATTGTCAGATTCCCGCAGACTGCATTTTGTTACTATTTCTTCAACTTGCTTTTTAAATTTATCATCGCTATAGAAATTGCTTTTTATAAAAGTAATTATATATTCTGATAGCGTCTAAAGTTCTCTGTCATCCTATATATTTATGTCTTGTATTACATTTATTTGCTGAAAAATAATTTGAGTACAGCGAAGGTACTCTCAACTGACAAGTACCAAAAAGGTGCATTTTTTCGCTACTTTTTTAGTTTTTTCCACACCATCTGCATACGGATTTAAACCGGTGAAAGAGAAAACAATAACACTTTTCTTTTCCGCTAGTTTTGTAGAGTGGACTGTGCTTTACAAATTTAGACAGTTCACAACTCGCCAGCATCGATAAAAAATGGCTTCATCACTTTCATCTTCCAGAGGATGCTGTTCTCTCCATATCCAATCAATTTGTGTATCTGTCTGGGCTTTTAATTGCTTTATTTGGTTATTAGCTCTTTGAGTATATTCTCTGATTCGTGTATTCATTTGCGTCATAGTTCTCGGAATTTCTTCTGTTATTTGGCGTCTGTGCTCATTTTAATTTTGCTGACATATAGATAAATTATGAATGACTTGTTGAAGTGAAATCGAGTTATCACCGTCTACAGGCATAGTGAAATTTTATGCGGCTAATATTACCGTATTAGTTACCGCTGATGAGTTCGTCAGGTTGGAAGCGGTTTTGACTATTCTCCGTAGACTGACCGTATTTTGTGGCCGTTTTATTTTAAAACAAAAACAACGATGCCTGCAACACCATATGATAAACACGTCCGTCTCCTTCTTTTTATCATGCTTCTACTGCACTCTTTTTCTCCCTTTCGATGAACGACAAGATGTATATACATATATTCACATAATACAAAGAGAGAGTTGAGTATAAGATGATCGATGAGAGAGAGTAATAGATGTATCCCATGCATTGAAGAAGAAAAGAGCGAAGAGAAAAGAATAAAGAACAATAGCAAAAAACATTTCTTTTTTATTTTTATTTTATTTTTTCTCTATCTCTGAGTTATTTTTTTATTATTTTAGTTTTCTTTTCTGTTCTTTACGATTCTTGAATGTTACATCACTTTGTAGTTATAACTAATACACGGACTGTTGTACCTCCCTTCTTTTTTTAACGTTTCTATACTGATGTATTCCACTTACAATACACGAACCATAGACGGCAGTAATATAACTCTTGCTCTCTCATACTTTGTTTCTTTCTTTCTGTTTGGATATGACTTATATGAGAATGAGAATGAATTTGACATAAATATAGCTAGTCACACATTTATCACGTTCTTATGCGTCGGTTATTTCTCAGTACATTTATAATTATTCTTACCACCCAATTTAACTATTAATCGCAACAATCATTCCATAAAAGAACTGAGAACTTCAAAGTTATTAAGATAACAAGTCAAAATGTTAAAGTCTAAATGTGATAGTGTTTCCATGAATGATGAAACAGAACAATTGAATTGCTGGCTGGATACAATGAAATCGATGATTTGTAATAAGTTCAGTTCAACAGCTCCGTTATTAAAAGTTGGCAATGTTCCTTCACCTGAAGAACTAATGGAAAAATTAGGTGGACTAAATTTAGATGATAATGGTAGTACTCCTACTGAAATGGTGAATATGATGAAAATGATTTTGGATTATTCACCAAACACACAACATCCACTCTTTCTAGACAAATTATATGCTAGTACGTCACCTATAGGAATCATGGCCGAATTAATCATTGCTACTTTAAACACTAATGCTCATGTTTATAATGTCAGTCCGGTAGTAACATTAATGGAAAAGAGATGTATTGATGAAATGTGTAAATTTGTTGGTTTCGTTGACGGTGGTGGGTTTCTTAATCCAGGTGGCAGTCAGTCGATTTTGACAGCTATGGTCACTGCGAGAAATTATTTACTAAAATCGATTAAACATAAAGGAATGGTTTTGTCGGAGAGCAAACCATTGATAGTATTTACATCAGCACATGGTCATTATTCTATTGATAAAGGTGCTATGGTAATGGGTATCGGGCTAGATCAAGTCATCAAAATTAAAGCACCAGAAGGTAAGATGGATCCGGAAGAACTGGAAGAGAAAATTAAAAAATCATTACAAGATGGACATCAACCATTCTTTGTCAATTGTACTGCTGGAACAACAGTTTTAGGAGCGTTTGACAATATTAACGAGATTTCAAAGATATGTGCAAAGTATGGATTATGGTGTCATGTAGATGCTTCGTGGGGAGGACCAGTAATTTTTTCTAAACGTTACAAACATCTCATTAACGGATTAGCTAACGTACAATCAATCAACATAAATCCACATAAATTACTAGGTGTACCGATACAGTGTTCTGTTTTATTGACTTATAACAAGACAATATTATCGGAAAATTCATTAAATGCACAATATCTGTTTCACGGTGGTGAATACGATATAGGCGATTTTACCTTAGGCTGTGGGAGAAGAGCAGATGGGATAAAATTATATTTATGTTGGATGTATTTTGGTACAAATGGTTTTGCTGCTAAAGTCGAGCATGCTTTTGAAATTGCTCAATATATGACAATGAAAGTGAAAAACACTGTCAATCTACTAATGGTACAAGATCCTTCTTTTGTTAATACATGTTTCTGGTATTTACCTAGTGATATATTGAAAAATTATACAAAAGAACAAATTAGAGACATTTTGAATGACAATCAGAATTCCGATCGTGAACATCTATTTAAACGACTTGAATTTTATACTTCAAACATTCATAAAGAATTACAATCAAATTTAACAATAATGATAGATTATGCACCGATAGACAGATTACCTAAATTCTTCCGGATTCCATTTGTTTCATTTAAAGTTACAAACACTCATGTTGATTTTATTGTGAATGAAATAGTTAAGATAGGAATGAAGATAGAAGAAAGATAGATTGTTCAATTTTTAGAACAGTAATAATAATTTCATCAGAAACATTATTATTATCGGCCTGAATTATATGAATATGAATGGATTTTTTTTGTTAAACTATTGAGTATTATATGTGAGTGATTCTCAAACAAAACATTTTTACTTTGGGCTTCTGTACTGTAGAATATACAGAAGGTTTTTCTTTTGAGTTTTTTCTCTTTCTTGAACGATAAATATGAACGAAAACATAATCAGAAATAATGAAGCGGTTTGCACATGACTGAACAGGCCTCCTATCGTTCGACGATGACTATAGTGTGTCTAAAAAATAGGTGAAAGAAAAACCCAGTGACCCACAGTCATTCCAGAAAAGCGCAGGAAACTCTGTTTACGAAAACTTTTACGCGTTTAGCGAGTTTCGAATAATAACCCGCAAGAAGCTGCGATTGTGTAATAATAAACCGCAGGAACACGCGTGTGAAGCCTTTATTTCCATGGCAACGCGCGTTTCCTCGGGTTTATTTTTACACATTCGCAGCTTCCTGCGCGTTATTATTCGCGTAAAATTTTTCGTAAACAGAGTTTCCTGCGCTTTTCTGAAATCACCATGACTGACTGGGAAATGCGAAAACTGAAACAGAAACTTGACAAAAACAGAAACGGAGCTTGACACCTGGGAAGGAGTGATTTACGAATAGTTTCTGCTTTACACACTAAGGCGTATTTTTACATGTAAATTTAGATCAAGTAGTCGATATTTTTCTTTTCTTTTTCTCTTGACAACAAGATGTGCAAGTGATTCTAGATATAAATATTCGGTGAGATCGATCTCGATATTTTCATATCTATTTGCTCAAGTATCGTATTGTTTTAAGGTTTTTTAAAACGTATGTAGATTTATGACACCCTAAATTTACAGAAGCAGTTTTTGTTAGTACGTGTGCTGGAAGAAACTCTCTTGATTAATAAAGATATTATTTTGCTCTGAACACCCCACTGGACATGTGCTTGGTGTTATATTCTTTTCTAGAGAATGCTGTCACTAAAAATAGCAGATGTTCAACGTCAAATCACAATCGAATAATCACAGCATGTTCACGTCATCACCTGTCCATTAAAAAAATCCTTGCTAAAACGATTTTCCGGACGTGGCATCCTGATGGTCTGAAGCGACATTTTTCTTTTGAAATACTTTTTGTTGACCCAGCCATGACTCGAACTAGCGTCCTGACGTTCAACAGTGACGGACTTTCAAACACACAACATGGACGACTGTTCGGGCGTCGCCAGTAACAATTGGAAAGAAAATTGACTTTACATATATATATATATATCAGAGCTCAGAGAGTGTTGTTTAAGCCGCCTGAAAAAGAGAATACTGAATTATCTCAATCACTGCTGTACTACACTTTCTTAACTTAAATAAATCTATATGTGATCGGCATCGTTTGATCTCTACAACCAGATAAGATATTTTTCTTACTCAACTTTCATTATTGAACAAAATATATTTTGTATTGAAGTTAATGTGTTTGATGAGGAAGGAAGTATCATTGCAAAATGATGTTGATTGGATCGATGATAAACCACTACTAACTGATCTCGACGATGATGAGCATGGTTTTGATTTATAATTTTTACGCGTAATTGTTTCTTATATTATATAATTTGGCTAATTATGCAACCGCGATCCACCCGAATACATTACTGCAGTTGCTGTGAAACCCGGTTACAGTTAAACCGCGACAAACTAGGTTTTAGGGGTGACCGCGCTTCGCAAAAAAAAACAAGTAATGCCGCGGTTTTAATCTACTTTACCGATGGCACGCGGTGAATACAGAAAATGCGGTCCCCCGTAATGCCTAGTTTTTCGCGGTTGAAAAAGTCAACCGCGGTCCACCGAATTTTTATGCGAAAAAAATACTCATGGGTACTAACAACTGCTACGCTTTAATCCGTTCACTTTTTTTTATTTCCAGCAGTTCCGATACAGTCATCTTCTAAACGTATTTTTCATGGCTGGTGACCTGATGAAAGGTGCAGTTAAGAGCACAAATGTAGCTTGCAGATTTAGCTCTATCCAAAAGAAAAAAAAGAACTATATTCTACGGTAAATGTATAAAAATGTTATAAAATTCTTATCCATCCTACCATCCGTTCCAAAAAGCAGGGTCGGTCATTATTTTTTGAATAACTCGAAGGAAATGAAAGATAAAGTCTTGCGGTTTTCACCATTTGACGGACAAGACCTGAAGCTATCTTTCTACAAGCATAAGCCAATTATGGAAAAATTTCCGAAGCCGATTTTCCGGAGGATTTTTGGAAAACCAGTTTCTTTCTCTGAAAACTGACATATAAATCTATGGACTTCTTAGAAAACCGGATTCTTGCTTTTTAGAACGGCTAATAGTTAAGAACGGAAAAACTAGAAGACTGCAAAAATTACCAGAGGATTTAGAGGTCGCTAATGCCTAGCTCATATATTTCACACTGGACCTTCAGTTCATACAAGTCAGTTTTAAAAGTCATTTAAAACCTTATGGGCGGCTAAGCAATAATAGGAGTTCTGCATGAATTCTCTCGGTCAGCTTTGATACCAAGTTGTAATTATACTTATATATTTTTTTGATAATAAAACCACAGTTTTGCATAAATTCTAGCTTGGTAGCGGATAATTCATGCTAATAAAATACAAATATATTATACCATTCAATATTATACCATTCACATTTTTGGAGATTCCTACTCTGTTTCCAATTATCTTTTGTAAGCTCGTATAAAAACAGAATTTGCAGATACCTGTTGACTCTCTCTGTTCTTGTTTAAGACATATTTCGAAACTAACTACGCGCAATGTTTGTTGACGCGGATTACAAAATTCTCGTTAACTGAGAGACGTGAATCTCTCGAGTTAATAAAAGTTTTCTTTCATTTTGATTGCAAGCGTACTGCTGAAAGTAACATGAAAGTCGTTATTGTCTTACATGTCTTATTCTACGTCGACAGTCAGTTTCACATGTATCACACAAATAATGATAAAAATCAGAACTTTCACGATTGTCTGCACCAGTATTCACATCAAAAAGTTAGAAACAATTTGTGTAACTGTGAGCAGAACGTACCCTGTTCAATCTATCGACAATTCCGACGATGATAATGTTGATTCTCACTGTTACGGAGAAGTACATGCATTTATTGAACTAAAACTGTGAAATGTAACCGGTGCACAAGTATACAATTGTATACAATCCTCAAATAAGAAAAAAACTGAAAAGGAAATTTTGCTCCATTTTTGGATTTTTGATATGTTAACTAACTTATTCCAACATTGATAACTGAGGAGGGCTGCGTGATTACAATTACAAAATGTAAAGTTCATACATTGCTATTATCTGTAGAATTAAGAATTCTAGAATTATGAACTTTACATACATGTAAAGTTGCTTATTCACACTCATCTTCACCCTCACCCCCACATTCACCCCTAGAATTCAAGATTTTAGAAAATTCTGAACAAGTAAAGTTCAACTTTACATACATATAAAGTTCATAATTCTAGAATTCTTAATTCTGCAGATAATAGCAATGTTTGAACTTTACATTTTGTAATTGTAATCGCGCACTTCTGTAACTGAGTTCGCATAGTCAAAAAAGAAGTCAGTAAATTACACGCAGAAGTATCAAAGATCTCACGGCAATCTTTGTTTTCTGAACAAAATTCAAGAAAATACACCAGGGATGAAATAACTCATTTTTGCCTATTTTGGCTGAAAAGTACCGAGTGCTCTGTCCAAATCGACCTAAACTACGTCATAGCATTAAAATGGTCTTCTGAACAATGAAAACCGCAGGTCTATATTACTTTTCAGAGGAAAGTTATTCAATAAATAGCAAAGTGGATTCTGTTTCGAAATAGATATTAATAACATCATGCATCGGTTTAACAAATACACGCAATCGGCATAAGATCATTAAAAATGGAGTTTGACACCTTGGAAGGTTCCCTCGTCAATTGGATCATTGATAGTTTCCTTCCCCTCAACGGAAGGATGTTTCGTCAAAACCTAAGTTTGAATTACCTTCCTGTTTTCTCTTGCAAAAATAATCAAGCAAAAAAAGCTTTTATTTCTTACATTGTTGTTACAGAGTTAATGCAAGTATAAAAAATAAGATCTAATCCTGACATGTTGTCATAACACGATATGCTGTAAAGCAATGGCTGCTGCAACATTAACATTTGTTGATCTAAGGTAAATTTAGCCACCGTTACAAAACCAACTGTGGAATACATTACCAAGGCTGCTGGGATAAGAAAAAAACTGATGCTTATCTCTAGTGCATTTCTCGCTATCATTAAAAGCAAGAGGTATTTAGTGCAAATACGTAATTCTGCTGCAAACAGTGCAAGAAATTGCTTTTATATCAAAACACAAATTTCTTGCTGCGATAAAATACGTTACAAGATCCGCCACAAAAAAGAAAGAAAGCCCAGATCGCACGATCGACTTGCGTGAAAGATCCAGTGCGCGACACATACGCCCACATCACTTGAAACGGATCATCGTCTCTCCCTGCCTTGTCCAAGAAATGTTTGATACTATTATCAATCCCTACACCATCCAGCCTCTGATTGAAATAAGTCTTTTTGATTAAATACATCTGCTGCTTCAAATCGTTAATCATCAATCCCTGCCGAAACTGAGCCATCATCAGAGATGTGCGCCGCCGGTCATTTATTACACGCCGCCGCAGAGGTAGAGAAAAACTACTGTGACCTCCGCCGCCGCCATGCAGTTAAACTTTTGTAGCCGCCGAGGGCGGAGAAAAACTTTTTTCGAAAATTTTGACTATTTTATTAGTACGTCCTTACCTTAGGCATGTAGCGTGCTGCGCATTTCTATCTTTTCGTATGCGGCAACGTACAGATACAGTTGGTGCTCTTTCATTTCTGGCAGAACTTGCCAGAAATGAAAGAGAACGTTGTTTTACTTAAATTAAGAGGTTCACCGCCAATAAATAACTTTTACACGCTGCCGCCGAAGACTGAGGAAAATTTCATAGCCTTGTGCCTCCACCGCCTATGTTAAAAACTTCCTTCGCCGCCGTCGAAAATTTTTTATGTTATTTAATCATCTCTATTCATCATTCCCGGTACATGCTGATCAACAACTTTCCATTCCTCAGCGAGGAGTGAGCAACTACCGTACTGTGTCTTATTCATCTTGATAGAAAAAGACAGCCGCCTGTCTCATCTAACACAAAACAAGTGAGTACTCGTTTTTTTCGGCTTTATTGTTTTCTTTCTGTGTGTGCACACTCAACACTAGAATCATCATTTCCGAAAAAGTGAACGTTCTGTCTTTTGTGTGCTTCATCTCGTACGGAAGCACAGCTTCAAATGCGCCAGAAATTTAAGCCAATTAGTATAAAATTGGGCGCAATATGGAACGAGTAAATTTATATTATTCTGCGTTTCCAAATTGCTGCTACTTTTTAATTAGTGAGTAATCAACAATCGTAATTTAAAATATAGATATATAAATTAGTCGGTTTTTCGAAAAAATAGAAGTAGAAACATATTTAATTTTTATCTGTTCGAATCACATACGATAAATCACCCTCATTAACCGTTCTCATAGGATTGCATGTGTTTGGAAAAGAATTCATTTTAAACACAAATGTGTATTGTAATAAGTTCTTAGTGACCTATGCTGTTTTCTGTCGTTGTTTATACAGTCGATAATGCCGAAACTAATATCAAAATTCCAATCATCAATTTTTTATTGAGGTTGACGGCAGTTACAACTTGAGATGAAGGAATGTTAATGTTGTCGTCTATCACAAGTATTGATGAGACAAATTCATAATTGAAATTCGTAGCAATTGTATTTTTGTCAATCACAATTGAAACTGGCACAGATAAGACGTTGTCTTTCATAAGAGGCGAAGGGCATATTATTTCATTTATATCAAACAATATACCATCCGTTTCTCTATCACCAAATTTACAAATGATTTTTTTACATAATGTGTTTTCAAATCCAGTTCCATACAGCGTCACATTTATTGATAAATTCTTTGGGCCATATGAAGGAAATATAGTGGATACACGCACGACGTCGGTGAAGGTTCGATTGCACGCTAAGTCGTATGCGTAATCGATGAATAAGTTCCATTCGTTTGTCCATTTCATAAATCCTTCTATTTTACGGCTCTCTGGAACTGTACTATATTATATAGAATTCCACGCAAATTGTTTTAAATCAGCTAGATTCAAACCCCATGCCATAGAAGCCAAATAAAAGTCAACAGTCAAGTAATTATAGCCAAAACTTCCTGGATCATCGCCAGCTAATACAATTGGAATACCACTACGATGATAAACGATTCCAGGATGATTGCGTAAGTCAGCGACATAACCTATAATTACATAGAAAAAAGAGATTGTGCGCTTTCTGTAGCAGCTCATTTGAAAACATTTGACATAATTATGATATTTCGCAGTACTCATTATAAGAAAATAGTACCATGATCTACATTCTAGCTGCACGAAAAACTTCATATCTGCTATCCATTTCGAAGTATAAAGACCACGGATGCTTTTCCAATAACATCACTAGAGACCAGTGGTTTTCAGACTATGAATGAGGACACCGCGGGAGCTTAAGGCTATGCTAAAATGAGTCTTTTCGACAGCACTACTATAGTGTACCTTTCAAGTTCAAAATAAAATGTCTGAGCCTGCCATAGTACAGTACTGCTTCAGAAGCGTGTGAAAAAAGAATAGATATCACTCTACGATCCAGCGCAAATTCCACACTTCCGTGTATCACGGTTCGTATCCACGTGCAATCTCGAAATGCCTGCCTAGCGGCTAAACCTGAACTCTGGGAATCTTAAAGATAGGTTTACATGGTACATAGGTTTTCGAGCACGCTAAACTTCGTGACAATATTTGTTTTTCAGGAAGTTCTAAAAATCTATATTAGGTAAAACAGCCCAGTTTTGCCTATTTTTGAGTAAAACTAAACCCAGTCAAGATCTGCGTGACACGACATTACCGCGAATCGATATTTTGAAGAGGAGCAAGACAATTGGTCGCTAGAAAGATTCCTGTGTTCTGCAGTACTATGAACGATTGCAAGGCGAATCACAACAGAAGCAAACAAATCTGTTTTGTAGGATTTCCTCTTTGATGGAATATTTGAAGTTGTACCACAAATTTAGCTCAGTTACTCGGAATTGATGCTATTTATCGTGAACATGTACTAACGATATCACTTATACTGTGATCTAGGAAAAGTGGATACGACGTTACCGCGAACGACATTACCGCGAAGACTCGTTTATTGGAAAGAAGAATAAATGAGCCTGGTTTTGTATTTTGTATATCATGTGGAGAGAGGTGGAGGAGAAGGAGGGCATCGTGAGAGTAAGTTCGAAAAGTATTTTCACACAAAACATATTATCGTGATGCGAAACTAGATATCGGTGGCTGTATCAGATAATGACTAGTCATCACATAACTTCAGTTAACATGATATACAAAATACAAAACCGGCCTCATTTAGACCTCTTTTCCAATCAATAAGCCTTCGCGGTAATGCCACTGTATCACTGCATGGTAAAGTGTAGACAAAGTAGAGTATATGTTGATATTCTGACATAATTGGGATGGATCTTGACTGGGTTTTTAAGTTTTTTAATTTTACTCAAAAATAGTCAAAAATGGGCTGTTTCACCCTTTGCCTAGGCTGTCTTTATACTTTGAAATGAATAGTAGATAGAATTGATAAAATGGTATTGATCGCTTGTTTTGAAACTAGTGTTAGCTTACCTAATATTTGGTTACTTGCGGGACAGATTTCAATCGCGATTTGACGGTCACGAATATACTGATACATATCGGGACGTTTCGCTAAACTAAGACCATGACCGATTCGATGAGTTCTAAGTACAAGAGCATCATAAATATTTTCAAATGTTGACACATCATCATCTGATGACAGATAATCATCCGGCCAATTGGTTTCACCGGCATGAAAGACTAGATTAAACGATCCATTACTCGTTTGAGAACGATTGAAAGCAGTGATTAAGCTATCGCTGTGAAATAAAAGAGTATGTCCTTGATCTTCTTCTCCAACCAAGTCATATCCTCTAATAAGATCGGGATATAGCCTTTGAATATCTATCATCTTATTCACCTCATTTTTGATTTGTTCTTTTGAAGATCTTCTTCTGTTATAAATTAAGAATATAAAATCAATAAATTTCGGATTGTTCTTGACATAGTCTTTTTTAAAATCAATCAGTAAATCTATTTCATCAGTAGCATTTATTGATATTCGAGAACCGTTTGAATCAAAGTAATATAAACTTCCAAAGTGACTTCGTCTTAACTCTAAAAGTTGTACATTTTCTTCAAGTGAACTGTTTAACACTGCTTTCATGTAATTAAAACGTGTTACGTTATGCCTCACCAACTCATCATAAAAATCGAAAACTCCTTTATTATTGGCTATAGACCATCTACTTGATGTGTCGGTTGCGTATATTGGTTCTTCTAGATCATTCAAAATTCCAGTGAGAGTAGTCTTTTTTACAATGTCTGGAAGAGTCCAATTTGATTCTTTGACCTTTGTCCAACCTCGAGGAATATTTGATTTGTAATAATTGAGATGATATTTATTAGTTACACAATTATCTTGATCACATATGTGTAATAAGTCATATTCTGGAGAGTTTTGGATTAATTCTAATAACAGTTTTCTGTCCAAAATTTGAAATTCATGTACGTGTAGATTTCCACCTTTGGGTAATGCTTTAAGAAACTGATAAAAAGGTCTGCTAGTAATATTGATGACTTCTGTTTCAATAGGTCGAGATGGATAAAAATATTTTGTTGTATTATTGAATTCATTCAGTTTGAGTGATTCCAAATATACATTTACCACTTTTTCTTTATCATTCAAATTATTTTTCGTCTGGAAAGCTAGATCATGTTGCCTAATTTTGTCTCGTGCAAGCATGTAAGCATATTGATTAAATGGTAATGGCAGAGAACTGACTTTTGTAATTATTCAGAGCAGAAAAATAATTGTTAAAATAATGTTACTGATCATTGTACTTCAGTGATAATCAAAGTACATTAAAAGCTTACTTAAGTGCTTTCTGCTAATTTATTTCTATTTTTTCAAATATGTAAAAGGTCTTATTCGAAATATGATATTGTTTTTATGTGACATTTCAAAAATAATTTTTGATTATCTGCTTAAGATAATATGACCTCTTTTTTTTGTCTGAGTAATGTCTTTTACCTTCATGTTAAGTCATTTAAAAGGGTATTTGATATGGATGTACTTTGATATAAGTATATAGATTGATATGTATCTGTGTATATATCTACAGCCTTATGTATATATTTATGCATCTGTATACACTTATGCTTGAAATGTAACATAGCAACAATGTCATATTTAGTATAAAGCCTTTTACATATTTGAAAAAATAAACATACACGAGCAGAAGATATTTACGTAAGATCTTAATGTGCATTGATTACCATCAACGTCGAGTAGCGACACAATGCGAATGAACCGCAGGGAGAATCTCAAGCCTTTTCAGCCCAAAGTTGTCATGCTTTATTATTAAATGGTGCATCTTTAAGCTCTTCTTCTTATCTACCTACTGCCTATTCAGCTAACAAGTAGTGTGAAGCGACGTTTTTGGTTTTCAGAGGCTTTTCAACAGGGACTCTGATAAAGGAAGCCCGGAATAGAGCATATTTAGCTATCTAAAAAGATGAAGAAAGAAACGTGTTCCATTTCAGCATTATTGATTTGGTCATACGATGGTTTTTGAACGAACTGTTGAGATTCACTACACACTTTGAAATCGTCATACTCTTGAACCATCCATCGCACTGAGAACTGTCATTTCGAAGAGAATATTTCATGTATCCGTATTTTATACCTAAGTTACCTATCCAAAACTTTCGAATAACGGTTCTTGTACATCTCGATAAAGGCTATCAAATGAAACTACTTTCAAGCTTATCGACTCGACTGACTGAAAGAACGAGCATTTCCAACTTTAGAATGCTCTTCCTCACTTAAAATGGCAATCAGTTCTGATGCTAAATATTTAACAATTTCAATGGCATGAGTGGGTAAAACTTGTTTTAGACTATATATGATGACAAAATCTTAATTCTATTTCATGTGGTTACAAAAGAAATTTATTTTTATTTCTATAGATGATCGAAAATTTCCCGTCGTTTCTAAAGCGGCATCTACTATTAACACACATTGAACCCTTGAGTGAAAAATTTTTTGAGCTGAGATCTGCAGGCTATTCTTATCTAGACTAGATTTACATAATACAAGCGTTTCGTAAAATCGATGATAGCCGTGAACACCTTCCCGACAGTTTAAAAAGAAAGAATAGGTGTCCACAGCCGTCTCTCTGTGTTTGCAATGTAGTTATACACTGCATCATAGATAACTTTAAATTTAATTTCACCTTCAAAGTTTGATCGTAAGAAAAGCGTGTTTAAGTCCATTTTAACGTGTACCTGTTGTTATTTATTCACAATAAAAATATCATTTTAGGAATCAGCGCCAAAACTAAGTTGACTAATACACTTTTTTGGGCTATTCGACTGTGTTGAGCCTTTTTTGGAGTTGTCATGTCGAAAAATTGCTGGGATTTTCACCAAAAAGTGAAAATCAACGAAAACTCCTGGAACAGTTATCATTCAACTTAGTTTGGATGTGTGACATAACATGATATTTATATTGTATAAAAAGTGAGTTGTGGTGGAGAAAACTGCGAATTACCGGCAGAATTCCGATTTTTTTCGCTCATGATTTAGAAACAAGATATTTTCTCAGTAATACAGCAAAGAGCGATGCATACTTGAAAAATCCTCATGCCCACCGCCTGATTTGAGTTGAAAGGTGGTGTGGATTCGACGCCCGACGGTATCATGTAGACGTTCAAGAATATTTGTAAAATCTCATGTACAACATATCATCTCTTTCAAATAATAGAGCCACGAAGTGATATTCGATCCGTACAATAAAACTTTTTTTTCTTAGCATAAACGAAAGACCTTTTGATTGCTGGAATAGACTCCTGATAAAGTTAACACATCTGCAGTAATATATTCTACGGTTACATTCGTCCTGTTTGGCTGTAAGTAAATAAAGAGTAAGTCTATCTATAGCCTACAAATACTTTTATCCACTAAAAGAGTGTGATGTAAGAATGCCAAATTGTCGATTTCTCCGATGTGCCTTATATGCGTGATCGAAATAGCGGCAATGGTAGTCGATATTAACTCAGATATCTATGTCGACAGACATGATGAGTTTTTGCTTGGCATTTTCATTTTTTTCAGTCGTGTGTTTTGGAAAATGTGCGCCGTGCAATCTAGAGAACTGCGTTACGTAGAAAACTTGTGAAACCGGCAGGGTATTCTCTATATTCTAGCAAATCACTGATGAACTGGACTTGTATACTTTACGAAGCGTCATGCTGACAACCGAATGATTCTTTTGAAAGTGTACCACGTTCACCTGGACTTTATGTCCCCAAAAAATAGGACTAGTACAACTCGTGCTCCTGATAGCAAATATCACGTTTAAAAAGTTTTAAAACAATGCTATGACGGTTTTCCAGCTCTGCGAGGTTTCCACTTTCCAGGAGAACAGACCTTTTCTGCGTTTTTTGAGCAGTTTTACGGAAAACGACAAATTTGATTGCATTACTTCTTTGAGTTCAATGTGTTTTTGATTATTGTTGACAATTGTCTCTTTTTGTTGTTCGTGCAGTTTCTTCCATTCGATCCATTCCGGAGATGAAAGA